AAATTATTTATATTTTTTAAAATCATATTTGATTTTGTTTTCTTTTAAATATGAGACTTGAAATAATTTATATGTAAACAATATAAACTTCTATTTTACTTAACACATAAAAATGTAGGGTTGAGATGACACACAAAGCAAGGATTGTTGTTTTCTGTGAACGCAGTCATAATGGATGGAAAATAATGGATTTAAAAAAATCATATTTTTTAAACAAATATGTTTTATTCAGGGGTTAAGCCATTTAACTAATCAGAGCTTTTAGAATGCAAAAAAAATAAAAAATGTGTTGTGCAGTATACCTAGAAAGTTATTCTTCTAATGCAATATAATCAAAGATTAAAAAATTAGTAAACTAGAAATTATAATATAATATCAAATGTATGTTTAAGGAACAACTACTGACAAACATATATTACTTTATTATTATTAGATAATATTAACAATTTGTGAACCTTCTTTAACAAATAAACTAATTCTATACTTCTATAACTGTGTGTTAATAATAATACATTCAAAGACGGGGCAGATTGTTAGTATGATTATAACCCAAAATAATTACATATTTAATAACAGCATTTCATTGGAGTGACAGAAACAGATATACAATCCTTTTTTCTCAATGAAATTGTACATTTTGTATGATACCTTTTAGAGCTTGTTTTATGAATATGTGATTTTATTGTCTGAACAGGATTGTGGAAGAAGTCAGGTAAATTACTGTTCCTTGGTCTGGACAATGCCGGCAAAACAACACTTCTGCACATGCTGAAGGATGACAGATTGGCACAGCATGTACCCACACTTCATCCAAGTAAGTTGATCACTGCATTTGAAACTATTGCATACATAGTACCTACATAACGTAAAATGTATATGCGCAGCATGGGGCTGCCTACTTCTTCTTTTTGTGGCGATTTAGTAAAGTTCGACAACACGGATGTCAAACTGATGAGTTCAATTTTAATAGGAAGCTACAATTATACAAGAGTTTACTTTCATCCTAAAATTTAACAACACTATCTGTTAAATTACCTATTTACTTAATTGTCAGTGTAAAAGTTTTAAAGTTTGACATAATTAGTATTAATAACATTACATTAATTAAACATGAAAGAAGTATTTGTGCATGGTAAAAGAGATTTAAAAATCTATAGATCATAGAGGAGGGAGGATAATTTTGGACAATTAATAAATATGGTTTATGGTATGTTTGTCAAACCTACATTAACACAATGAGCTATTTGTTTATTTATTTAGACTTTGTTCCGCAAAAAGTACAAAGGCGGGCTTAACGCCTTGACGCATTCTATACCAGTCAAACTATAAGAAAGCTGAGTAGGCAGGGGAGCCGGAACTACATTGACTGGTGTGGATTTTCCGTTTTCGCGAAGGCTCAGCCGCTGCCCATTCACAACTCGTCGAATAGTCGCCACCGATATTATATATATATGTCCAGTAATACCTATCTTTTTCACATAATTGGTTTTTTTCATAAATGATTTTTCAGTCCGAATGGCATTGTTACATTCCTTTACACCAAACATACATGGGGAAGAAATGTTCTCGAGTGGCAGCCTCGTACCGGTAGGCGTAGTGTAGGGCGACCCCCCACTAGATGGAGTGACGACCTGGTAAGACATGCAGGAAGTCGATAGATTCAGGTGGCTCAGGACCGTGTTTTGTGGCATTACTTGGGGGAGGCCTATGTTCAGCAGTGGACTTGTTGAAATTGCTGGTTCAATGTTCGCGTTCTGCAATTTGTTCCATTATAGCGTTTGTGTTGGGGAGGGTTAAACCTGGTCTTGATGCTTCCGAAGGCTGCATCGGCGGTGTATTCACTCGGGACACAAGTACAAAAGCGTGTTTTTACCCTTAAAATCTACGAAGCGCACCTAACTCGTCAGATTTCTGCAGTGTAGCCCCATGCAAGAATATCCACTACAGCATATTGTCTCGTCGGTGTTTTAAGAGGTGATAGAGGAAATCAAACCATGAGATAAACAGCAGCGTCTTCCTAATATATTAACTAGAAAATAAAAAAAATCCTATAAAAATAAATGCCTAATAATAAATGCCTAAATGGTAACTATGGCAAATATTCCACTTATAAAGCAGTCTATGGGAAGGCATACTTTCACCTGGGAACTTTTCCAATCACAATAAAACACATAATTTTAGACGAAAATTAAACACAAAAATCGTTATAATTTTTCTACCAAGTTTTTATTTCACAAACACTGTAATTAGCTGTCTTATATATCATACACAGTTTAATGTCCTTTTTTATACAAATAACTCATTAAGGCCGAATACGACGCGATTGACCTTGCTCGTTTCGCAGCAAACCACGCGCCGTCTATCGAACATCACGTGTGTTACCCGTACGCTTTGTTTATATAGACATGTATAATATAATAATAATATATTTTTATTTACTCTCAAAATTTAAATTAACAGGTTAGAGTACAAACAGTGTACACTATGGGTTGAGAGTCTGGTGTCTATACTAGGCGGAAGCCTGTGTTACGGATTACCAGGGTCTCCCCCTCAGGATATTATCAACATAACTGAACAATTTATTTGTTTGATTAACAATTGAGAGATATTGTATTATTAGTTACTTTTGTATTGTGTGTATGCGTGTGTGTTGAGTGTGTGTGTGTGTTGTGTGTGTGTGTGTGTTGAGTGTGTGTGTGTGTGTTGAGTGTGTGTGTGTGTGTTGAGTGTGTGTGTGTGTGTGTGTGTGTGTTGAGTGTGTGTGTGTGTGAGTGTGTGTGTGTGTGAGTGAGTGTGTGTGTGTGTGTGTGTGTATGTGTGTGTGTGTGTGTGTGTGTGTGTGTGAGTGAGTGAGAGAGTGAGTGTGTGTGTGTGTGTGTGTGTGTATCTGTGAGTTGTGTATGTATGTATGAGACTATCCAGTACTAAAACTTTGTATATGTAATAATAAGGTTTTCAGTGGTCTCATAGTCCAGACTTAACAACCATTGAGTTACTTTTAATTTGCAAGTGCGTTTATTAAGAGTATATATACCAATTCTAGCGTTTACTTTATTATATAGAAAATTACCCAGAAAGATAAAAAATTTATGTGAAAATTTGGTGCAATGCGTATTGTACAAGGTGTCTCAAAAGTAAGTTCACATTTGCTTATCTTATTACGCGAAAGCAACTATTCTGAGGGGCGCGGGGGGGTATGTCAGTCGGTAGTCTGGCTCTTGGGAATTTAGTCGCTATGGAGCGTTTCTCTGGTGCGGACCGTGCGTTGTGCGTACGTGAGTTTTACAAAAACGGTAATTCGGCGACTGTAGCGCGTAGAAAATTCTGCAGTATTCGACATATTCGTCACTTAAATGATGCGCCTAGCACTCGTCTCATTGCAAAATGGGTTGAGAAGTTTGAAGAGACTGGGTCAACTCTGGAGAAACCAAAATCTGGGCGACCAAGAACATCAAGAACAGCCGAAAACGTGGACAGTGTTACTCAGTCTATTCGAGATGATCCAAACCTCTCGATTCGGAAGCGTGCTGTTGCTTTAAATGTGCACAGATCTTCATTATGCCGCATTTTACACAAAGATTTAAAGCTACACCCGTACAAAATTCAGTTAGTGCAAGAACTGAAGCCTCAAGATGCTGGTCAGAGGCTTGCCTTTGTAAATCAGATGATTGAGCGCTTTCCAACGTTCACCAACATCTTGTTTTCCGATGAAGCCCATTTTCACCTGAATGGGCATGTAAACAAGCAAAATTGTCGTTACTGGAGTGCAACCAACCCAAAACAAAAACATCAGAAACCGCTACATTCACCCAAAGTCACCGTATGGGCAGCGATGTCGGCGCGAGGAATTATCGGCCCTTACTTTTTTGAAGATGGAAGGGGACGCACACTCACAGTGAATTCAGAGCGTTATGTGGAGATGTTAGACGAGTTTTTCGTACCCCAACTGCAAAACTTTCCTGGTTACAACCAAAGAACATGGTTCCAGCAGGATGGAGCAACTTCACACACGTCCAACAGATCTCTGCCTCGAGTTCGAGAAATTTTTCCGAACAAATTAATCTCCTGGCGAGGTGACATAAATTGGCCTCCACGGAGTCCCGATTTAACGCCTATGGATTTTTTCCTGTGGGGTTATGTCAAATCAAAAGTTTACGCTAATAAACCGACTTCCCTGGCACAATTAAAAGAAAATATCCGTCATGAAATGGCAGCCATCACGGAGACTACCTGCCGAGCTGTCATAGGCAATTTTAGTGCCCGACTAAATGAATGCCGAGAGCGCAACGGTTTACATTTGGACAATGTTATTTTTAAAAAATAAATTCCCAAACAGTGTACTTCAATATAAAATAAACATTTTTTCAATAAAGCTAAGACTTTTCTTTTAAAAAAAGATTTAAATGTGAACTTTCTTTTGAGACACCTTGTAGTAACAGACCAGATCATTTCTGCGCTTATCTTTTATTAATTTAATAAAATTATACTGTAAGAGTGAGTGCTTTTTAATGATACATTGTAGAATGAAGAGCTGCCTGACAGATAGGACTTTCCAATGTTTGTATAGGTCTACAGTAGGGTAAAGAAAGGGAAGTGAGACGGATACTTCTAGTATAGCTCTCTGTGCTCGTTTAATTTATTATATTATATTTGAGCTAGCTCAGTATGCAGAGTAATTAACAACACAGAGAGCATTGCTTACTTCTTAATTAAATCTTTCTTACTTATAATATTAGTTCCTATAGATTATAAATTCTGTACTTTATTCGTTATAAAATATTGTTCGAAAAGTTATTGAATTGATATCGATTTTTTTTCTTAATTGGTGCATCGTACGTAAAAAACCTCATATAACTGAAAATGTTTGTTCTTGTCAGTCTTACGAGATGCCGTAATGCAAATTGCATAAATAATAAAGAAAAAAAAAACTAAAAAAGTCGGTGATTGCCCCATAGTGGGGATAGGTACTGTTTATGTAAATTCTGGCAAGACTACTCCGACTGGTCAATCTCTTCACATCCGAAGTATTTCGGTTTTTCTTGATTATGTACTTACCCCATGCTTTCGGACAATACATGACAGACATTATTTGCGGTCTCTGTGCTTGCACTACTCTGTACATTCTTTTCCAACTCGGTCGTGATATTTACATTTTTAGTGTTTCTCACTTGTCTAGAAGAGTATAAATGATCATTAATGAGCATTCTAATGTAAATGAGTAAAAATGCAGCCTATTAGGCAGCCTCAAACAAAAAATTACCTTACAAAAAATATAAGTAACCTCAAAATACAACATTCGAGAGCGTTCATGCGATAAACTCTCCACTTACCACTTAGGTAACATTTATTTCTTTTCCTACCCATATTCACATTTCTAGTCACGTAAACGCGTATAAAACACTAAATTAACGATTTTCGCTACAGGCACAACGGCTGTTGTTACCTTACGTCACACGTCGAAGCGCCTGGTAATTTGTTACGGCAAACTTTTATCTGGCAATATACGATATTATTATTAGGTGTTTTTAATTAAAACAATTATTAAAACGAATTATGTTAATAAATAATATTTTGTATCGAAAATAAAGACGGCAGGCGGCACCTTCGGAATCACAATACAATCATTTTTATGTAAAAGAATTTTTCCTAAATTAAAATTCGCAGAGTTTTGGAAGAATAATCATATTTAAATATCATTTCTTAACATTTTTTTATTTGTTGGTATATTCATTTATTTTAAAATTTAAAAACAGCGGGCACCTTGTGAAGGAACCGAACAAACCTACAAAAATGTTTTGAACGGTTAGAATTACT